AGGCAAAACCGATTAACAGACTGTATTCTTGGAGATTATCTTGCTACACTGTGATTTTACTATTAGATAAAAATTGGAATAAAATATTTATAGCCAGATACAAGAATGAATGTAACTGGACAAAACCCGAAATAGAAGCAAATTGTCTCTATATGAAAGTGAAATATAGCACTGATATCTGGAAATGTTGTTATGAACAGCTTGACCCCTACACGTTAACTTATCTTAGATTACCAGTGTCAATATTTAATATAGAAGGCTTATGTATGCAATAAAACTTTGGAATTCTCCTACTGAAAGTAGACATTCCTGCAGTTATTAGAAATAAATCCAGATGTCTGCAAATCTAAGTAGTCATTGTTTTGCTACAACTTGGACTGAAAGCATTATCTTTTACCTTAATTTTTTCATAATGTTAGACTTACAGAAAAGTTGCAACAAAGCTATAATAATACAAAAACCCAATGAGCACTTTACACATCTCTGTGTGTGTGTGTGTGTGTGTGTGTGTGTGTGTGTCTCTGTTGGGTGCGTGTGTGTGTGTATGTACTTTTTCTGAATTTTCAAGAGTAAGTTGCAGAAATGCTGCTCCTTTACTCCTAAATATTTCAGGGTATATATAGACCCCAAATAAGAACATTATCTTAATAACTTCAATATAATGATCAAACCCAGGAAATTAACATCAATACCTACTATTTGTAATCTACAGACCTTGTTCAGGTATCTCCAGTTGTTCTAACAGAGTTCTTTATAGCAAAAGAAGATTTTTATTCAAGTATTGATTCCAGTTGCCATGTCTCTTTAGCCTTTTTTTTCCTTTTTTTTGAGATGGAGTCTTGCTTTGTTGCCCAGGCTGGAGTACAGTGGCACAATCTCTGCTCACTGCAACCTCTGCTTCCCGGGTTCAAGCAATTCTCCTGCCTCAGCCTCTTGAGTAGCTGGGATTACAGGCTGGAGCCACTATACCTGGCTGATTTTTGTATTTTTAGTAGAGACAGTGTTTCACCTTGTTGGCCAGGCTGGTCTTAAACTCCCAACCTCATGATCCACCCGCCTCAGCCTCCCAAAGTGCTGGGATTACAGGTGTGAGCCACTGCACCTGGACTGATCTTTTTTTTTTTTTTTTTTTTTTTTTTCATAAAACATTTGATGTGTTTGAAGGCGCTAGTACCTTAACTTCTATTGCTGCTGTAACAAATTACTACAAAGTTAGTTGCTTAAAATGACACTAATTATCTTACAGTTCTGGAGGTGTAAAGTCTGAAGTGAGTCTCACTGGGCTCAAATCAGGTGCTGGCAGGGCTATACTCCTTCTGAAGGCTCTAGAGGAGAATCCATTCCCGATTTCTAGAGGCCACCTCCTTTCCTTGACTCAAGTCTTCCATGTTCAAAGCCAGCAACTTTATGCTGCCATCTATCTGGTTCTCTCTCTCTCTTATCTTTGTCTTCCACTTATTTGGACTCTTGTGATTACATTAGGTACTCCCTCAGGATAATCCAGGATATGCTCCCATCTCACAATCAGCCAGCTGGCAACTTGCATTCCATTTGCAATCCCTGTTCCCGTTTGCCATATAATCTAATATATTCATGGGTTCCGAGGATCAGGACACGGATATCTTCTGCCCACCACCACAAGCCACTTTATTTTTAGAATGTTGTTTAATTTTGGCTTATCTGATGTTTCCTAATGATTAGATTCAGGTTATGCACTTTTGGAAGAAATATCACAGATATTTTTAGCCAATTGATCTTATATATGGACACTTTCCTTAACTCTTGTATGGGTTTTAGTCTCTTGGTTATTTTGGATTTTCTGTGTATGCTCATATCATCTGTAAATATTAATAATAGGTTTTTTCCTTCCCGTTTTTACACTTATAATTTTTCTTGTTGTATTGGCCAGGACCCCTAGCATCGTGGTATCCCACTGGGATACCAGGCATGTTGTTCCTTGTTCTTGCTCTTACTCTAATGCATCTAAAATTCTATGCTAAGTCTGTATAATGTGCTATAGGATTTCTTTCTTATAGCTTTTTATCAAATTAAGACAAATCCCTTCTATTTCTAACTTTGCGAAATATTTTTTCATTGAAAGATGTTGAACTTTGTAGGAATCATCCCTTGCCCTCTGAAGCACATGTGTCTTACCAAGGCCTTCAGAGTTCTTGCCACTTCCTGCTGACTAGGTCCAGTTAACATGACATCATCAAAGTGGTGTTCTGTGGGGCGGTCAAACAGTTCAAGACCCTTTTATTCTATTATGATGAAGAGAAGAATTACCATAGCCCTGGAGAAACGTGAATTTTGTGACTGTAAACACGAAGCCTGCAAATGCATGATGATATTTGTCCTACATTAAGGCAAACTCCTATGGATCCTCCTAAACAAAACAAAATATTCAAACACCTTTAGACTTTCCTTACCAAAAAACTCATTTTTCACACTTCATAGCTCTACTTACCAGAAACATGTCTTACTTTCTTCACATATGGAGTTATTTTCCTTTTCCTTTTTAATATTTTTAAAATTTATTTTTCATTTTTTTTTTAAGATGGGGTTTCACCACGATGGCCAGGCTGCTCTTGAACTCCTCACCTCAGGTGATACACCTGCCTTGGCCTTCCAAAGTGCTGGGACTACAGGTGTGAACCACCACGCCTGGCCTTCCTTTTTAATGTTAGTTCCCATATATTGGTTAGAATTTTTACAAATTCTTAGAAATCTTAATTTTCAATAAAAACTAGCAAGCATTGCAAACTGTCTTATTTTATAATTTCTAGAAACGTACTTCCTCATAGGACAGTTTTTTCATATTTGCTAACAGATTCAAATATATTTAGTCTTTTTATAAAAATTTAAAAGCCAAAAATAAAATTAAATTTATGTCCAGTAATTTATGTTTTAGTATTTTATGTTAATTGGAAATAACCTAGTTATTCAGTGAATATCTATCATTTAATTTAAGCTAGCAAAACTCTAAGGGTGCAGCTAATAAAGAGATTTAGGGAACATTTTTTAAGCAGACATACTATAAAACATAATTGTTAAAAAGTTCATTTATAAACTTTATCCAAGTGATAGCTATTCAGATCACTTGTTTTTAATAATTATGCCTAGAATAGTCGTGGAAGTTAAATGGAACATTAGACAAAGCTAGCCGTCATCCCAGGTTAGTTTCCCATTAACCATTTACACATCAAGCGCATAGCAGGCAGTCATTGCTAAAGCAGGAACCCTAAAGTAAAGCACATGGATATTTCATTGATAATCCAGAAGACACAGCTGTTTTTATTAAATGAATAATATTAAACTAGTCTTATTTGCCAAAGATTTATTCACATCAGGTAAACTTGACAAGCATTTTGGGTTAGTTCCTATATTTCTAGCAGTTTTAGGTATGATCATTTATCTCTAAATCAAATCACATAATGCCTTTTACCAGTATTAGTAGAAAAGACTTTTAAAATACTTCATTTGCTCAATTTTTAAATAGCCAAAAATCACGCCCACAAGAAAGAAAGTAGACAGACGGGGCAGAGCATATAGTTAGCAGGGGCCAAGAAGAGGGGTTTACTTGACTGAGAAGTTTTCATGGGAGAAGCAGGATCCAACAGAGAGAACAGAAACCTCCCCCCACCCCCCATACCCACCAAAATTACAAGCTTCCTGTAAGCTGACTTATGATGATAGAGCTCTTAAGAAATCCTTTTAAAATATCTTACAATCAGGTTTCAGCTGGGACAAACAGCAAATATTCCTGGCAATATTAAATTCCTCTCCCCTCCACCCCATGAGTATATTTCAGCTTAGGAGAGAAGGCCAAACAGACCAGACATGCCTATCATGCTGCAAACATACAAACAATCCAAACTAACTTTTGCAAGTGTTTCTTTCCTAAGCTAAATGAATGAACTGTAAAAAGAATTTATGGTGGGCTTAAAGGATTTGAACTTTGTTGTGATTTTAGATTTTTGATCTCGATAAGGGAGTCTCTAATGCTAGCTGTTATGCTCTTTGGTGTCTTAAAATAAGTAAGTCACTCAAGGTCTTTGTCTTATGTGAAGTCTTTTAAAAGAGGCAATGAAAACGTTTGAAATCCTTTTAGGAGCTTCTGTACCTCAGTAAGTATCCCTGGTGGGCCTGATTTGGGAGCCTTTTTGTTTGTTTGTTTTGTTTTGAGACAATGTCTCGCTCAGCCTCAAGGCGCCAGGCTGGAGAGCAGTGGGGCGGTCTTGGCTCACTGCAACCTCTGCCTCCCAGGTTCAAGCAATTCTCCTGCCTTAGCCTCCAGAGTAGCTCAGATTACAGGTGCACGCCACCACACCCAGCTAATTTTTGTGTTTTTAGTAGAGATGGGGTTTCACCATGTTGGCCAGGATGGTCTCGATCTCTTGACCTCATGATTTGCCTGCCTCGGCCTCCTAAAGTGTTGGGATTTCAGGCATGAGCCACCGCACCTGGCTGGGAGCCTTCATTTTTAAATGCCCTTCTTAAAGTGCAGTGTTGTTCGTATGGAATGTTCCACATAATGGTCATTGTAATTTTAAATTTTCTTTGATATAATTTGCCCATCAGTTAAAAAATATGCAACATAATGGACCATCATGTTTGAACATGTGGCCGGCTGGAATCTCTGAAGGAGCACTATTTTTGCATACCTTAGAATTGGGGATCCCATTTTGTTTCTTATTAATCTCTGAAGAGCAAAAAGAAAAACCCTACAAATATACTAGCTGCAAACAGGGTGCAACCTACATTTCTGTATTACCATATATCAGCTGCAAACGGGGCACAAACAACATTTCTGTCTGGTTATTTGTTGGGGTGCTTCTAACCTTTTCGTTTGGTGCCTGCACATGCAGCTCCAATAACCTGTGTGCCTCCAATAGACAGAAAGTCAAAAGAGCGGTGACTCATGCCTGTTAGCATGCTATTTTGCTCTTGGAAGATGTTCAGAAACAAGAGAAATCTAGCTAACCAAAATTTTAAATTAGGTGGGCAGAAACCTAAAGAGTACTCACCAGTTGGATGATGTCCCTGAGGCCTTTATAAAACCGAATCCTGAATAAAGTCAGAGCTCAACCAAAAGGAGTGAGTCCAAAATCTATGAGGAGATGGACAGAAACAAAACGGTGGCTCATGAAAGTGAAGAGCACAGGGAGCCCAGGTGGGTACGCACTCTATTCCTGGGGCCACCAGTCTTTCCAAGGTGAGCTCGCTTCACTTGCACCTCTGACACCAGTTGTCAACCTATAATGAGTAACAAAGAGACCAGCTCTCCAAAGCAAAGAGTTTATTGGGAATAGCAAAAGGATTGCAATCCGGAATGCACATGCTATGGCAAACATATGCATATCTGCGGAGGCTGGGGCAAAGGAAACTTTCTTTTTTTTTTTTTTTTGAGACCAAGTCTCACTCTGTTGCCCAGGCTGGAGTGCAATGGGGTAATCTCAGCTCACTGCAACCTCTGCCTCCCAGATTCACGCGATTCTCCTCCCTCAGCCTCCTGAATAGCTGGATTACAGGTGCACGCCACCATGCCTGGCTAATTTTTGTAGTTTTAGTAGAGGCGGGGTTTCACCATGTTGGTCAGGCTGGTCCCAAACTCCTGACCTTGTGATTTGCCCACCTCGGCCTCCCAAAGTGCTGGGATTACAGGTGTGAGCCACTGTGCCCAGCCCAGGAAACTTTTAAAGACAAAACAAGAAGTCCACATAAGGTCTTTTGCAACCATAGGTTACAGGGGCTTGTTGCAGGAGCTGGCATCAATTCATTGGTAAAGACACTTGTTGCTAGATAAATATCCTTGTGTGGCCAGGTGTGGTGGCTCACGCCTATAATTCCAGCACTGTGGGAGGCAGAGGCGGGCAGATCATGAGGTCAGGAGTTCAAGTACAGCCTGACCAACATGGTGAAACCCTGTCTCTACTAAAAGTACAAAAATTAGCTAGGCGTGGTGGTGCATGCCTGTAATCCCAGCTACTCAGGAGGCTGAGGCAGGAGAATCACTTGAACCTGGGAGGTGAAGGTTGTCGTGAGCCGTTGTTGCATCATTTTAGTTGTGTTTCTGGAGGCGGGGAAGAGAACTTCCATTTTTTTGTGTGTTAGTCAAGTATGGGAAAAATAGTGTTGGGGAAGACCTTTTAAAACCACTGAGGCTTTGTAATCACAGCAACAACAAATGCAAAAATGATCCTAATGAAAAAAACTCATATGCTTTGAAAAAAGTTAAACTCATAATGCGAAATAACTGGGAATTTAGGACTTTAGCTTAAAAGATGAAGGTAGCTTGATGAAGAGGATGTAAAGAAGGAATATAAGTGCTGATTTATGGAGATAAGTATAAAATGCACGAATACAGGGGAAACTTCCCATCAGTTACATCCATGACAAAACTGTTTTGGGGAAACATTTCTGCTTTTTCTCATCGGGAAGTTTGCTTGTATATACAGTAGCTAGCTGCATGGGTAGTAGGTTGTGTTTAGCAAATATTTACAATTTGAAACCACAGATCATAAGCTTCATGAGGAATGTTCCTGAATGTGGCTCACCAAGGGGCTGGCATTTGGGTTAGCATTTGCAAATGAGGTGTTCTTAGGAACTCTGATACTGATTGAGGATTCAGAGGTGATTAGAGGTGAGTTCATTGCAGCAAAGAATATTGTTGCATAGGTTAATTTTCTTTCTTTTTTCTTCTTATATGTGTGCACTTATTTATTTGTAGCCTGTTCTTGCGATGTGATTATTTATTATGATTCCTGCTACCTATTAATTAATCTTCAATTAATTCTTTTTTTCTTTTTGAGACGGAGTTTCGCTGTTGTTACCCAGACTGGAGTGCAATGGCACAATCTCAGCTCACCGCAACCTCCACCTCCTGGGTTCAAGCAATTCTCCTGCCTCGGCCGCCCGAGTAGCTGAGACTACAGGCACGCATCACCATGCCCAGCTAATTTTTGTATTTTTTTAGTCGAGATGGGGTTTCACCTTGTAATGTTCATTAATTCTATTATTCTTCACTATTAATCATTAATTATTCTTCACTATTAATTAATCATCAATTCTTCCTTATTTTCCAATCCTCATTCTCCAGCATTTTATTATTTCTGCTAACCCCAATTACTTCCCTTATTGATTAAAAAAAGAGCTCTTTTGTATCAAGAGCCCTGATACAATTATTGCTGGCATATATAGCAAAACTATTGACTACTATATGTTATTTTATTTTACTTTTTTGAGACAGGGTCTCACTCTGTCACCCAGACTGGAGTACAGTGGTGCAACCATGGCTCACTGAAGTCTTGACCTCGTGGACTCAAGCAATCTTCCTGCCTCGGCCTCCCAAAGTGCCAGGATTATAGCTGTGAACCACCACGACAGGCTTTATATGTTATTATTATATCAGGCCATCTCACTAAACACTCAGTTTCAATGCTTGTCTTGAATTTTGAATGTTAATTTTAATAGTTTTCTCAATTGATTACCCTGCCTCAGAATTTCTGACTATTCAAATTACCTTCAAACAATCTATAAATAAGAGACAATTTGTCTCTTATTTTTTTAAATTTGTGCCTCTTGCTGCTTGCTGTTGATTTATTGCATTGGGTAGGACATCCAAAAATACTGAAATACATCAGTGATAGAATGATATTTGCTGTCGTTTTTAGTTCTGGGTACATATAAGGCTTACTTATATTTCTAGGTGACTAAACGTTTTTAAAAGAAGTCAGTGTTGAATTTTATGGAATGTCTTTTCAGCAACAATTAAGTTGGTCATGGTTTTTCTCTTTTCCTAGGGTTAAACCATCCTAATATTTCAGTGTTGATAGTGGTAATCACAGCATTGCTATCTGACATTTATTAAGTGTTATTATGCCATTCGGTAATCTTAATTCTTTATGCTCAACTTACCATCATAACCCTTTCATGGAATCTTTGTGGGTTGCTGTTTTGGCCGGACACCTCTGTGACCTGTGGTACCTTTGCCCAACCTTTGCTTCGGCTGCTGGGCTCATTCTGCCCACCTGGTCTGGCAGGCTGCACTTGGCTCCTGTGACCAGCCTGGATCCCATGCCTGCCAAAGGCAAACCAGGCCTGGAGTGGTGAGGGGTGTGTGAGCGTGGGGTCTGGCCACTGTGCACAGACATGCCAGCTGCTGCCATGGGGCAGGCAGCTCCAAGTGCCAGCATGGGAGTCAGCTCTCTGTGAGGCTGTGGCAGGACCAGGCACATGGCCAGCAGCTTCCCCAGCTGGCACTGTGGAATGCAGTAGTGCCTCAAAGCTTGGAGATGCTAGGTACCACAGGACCACAAAGAGGGAGTCACAGCTCTGGCTCAGAGAGCTCCCAGGTCTGGGCTCGCCAAGGGGCTGCAGCTCTTCTCTCCTTCTCTTTGCCCACAATGTGGCAAGCAAGGGGCATATTTCAGCCCTGTTTGTGTTACAGCTTTTTTAGCTCTGCCATTTGATCAGTCCTGAGTTCTTGTCCTACAACCAAGAAGAATGAGGTAGGCAGACAAGTGGAGGGTGAGCAAGTTGAAGAAAAGGTTTATGGGGGTAGCTCCTTTCTGCAGCTGGGGCGTCCCAATGAGTGTTCAGCTCCTAGCAGAGGAGACCCTGGAGTGGGAGGCTCCTCTCTGCAAGCAGGTTATCCCGTCATCTCTGCAGCTCTCAGCAGAGAGAAGGCCCTAGAGTGGGTTGCTCCTCTCTGTAGGCAGACCCTCTTAGAGCTCCTTTCTGGGGTAGCTCCTTTCTGCAGCTGGTCTGCTCATCCCCTGCTCAGCTGTGGCTGAGCCCAGAGATTTTATGGGGCTCAGAGGGCAGGAAGTGAAGTGCCTGCCAATTGGTACATGGGTGGCCATGAGTGGCCAGGAAAAGGCACCACAAGTTCCCACTCCAGTCTGTGGGACTGGCAGCCCAGTCCCCAGCCTTCATGCCTTTTCTGGCCTGAAGGTGGGGCCTCAGCAGGGACCCACCCATTTCACCATCTTCTGTCTGCCTCCTGTGCCATTCATAGCTCCTGGGCTCACCCCAGATTTGCTTGGAGATAAGAGCTGGGGCTTACAGCAGGGTGAAGCCAGGCAGCAGGAGCAGGCGCTTCCAAGCCTGCAAAGGCAGGGATGCCTTCCTGGGCACCCAAAAGTGCAGGGATGCCCGAGTCTGCAGCTGCAGTTTATGTGGCTGCAGCTGAGCAGAGGTGGGAGGGCAGGGCTCCTGCTTGTTCCATGGAGCTGGAGACCTGGGTCTGTGGCTATGGTTTGGATGGCTGCAGCTGCACCAGAGAGTGCAGGGAGGCTGGGATCTGCACCCACAACTTGGGTGGCTGCCGCCCAGCCCAGGAAGGCAGGGCTCCTGCGTCCTCCATGGAGTGGGAAGCCCAGGTCTGCAGCATGCTTTGAGTGGATACAGCTGTGTCCAGTAGAACAGAGATCCTGCCTGCTCCATGGAGCAGGAGGCCTGGGTCTGCAGCCCGTGTTTGGGGGGCTGCAGCGGCACCTGGTAAGCTCCCGCCCCAACTAGGAAGCGGAGAGGCTTCCATTGTCCCCCTGCCCCCACCGCTGTTTCCTCAGGCTCCATGGAGCATGCAGCCCAGTGGTGCCTCCCTGCTGCACCCTAAGTGATGGCAAAGGCAGGCCGTCCGGAGAACCATTCCATCCACCCTACGAGATAGCTACTACTCTATTATTACCATGTTGTTTTGTGAGTGAGGAAAATGAGGTACTGAAAAATGTAAAAACTTGTCTCTAAGTTACTTAGCCACTTTTTGGGCATAAAATTATTATTCATTTAGAACCCTGCTGATTTTAATTTTCCTGCTCTAATTTTTTTCGGAGATTTTACAACTATATTTATAATTGAAATTAGTCTACGATTTTCTGTTTTGGTGTGCTGCCATCTAGTTTTAATGCAAAAATTATGGTTTTCTCAAAGCATTAGTTTGGAAATGTTCTTCCTTTTCCTGTGCTCTGCTATTTCCCATTTCATTTTTAAAATCAGCTGCTATTATATTTGATAATAGCAACCATTTACTGAGCACTCACTTGAGTCAGGCACTATGTAAAACCCTCTTCAGTTTGTTTCAACGTGTTCTTCACAATCGAAAAACATATATATTTCTTATGTATAAGATATGTTAGTTCATTGTCATGCTGCTATAAGGAACTGCCCAAGAATCGGTAATTCATAAAGAAAAGAGGTTTAATTGACTCACAGTTCCACATGGCCGGGAAGGCCTCAGGAAACTAACAACCATGGTGGAACCTTCACAGTGTGGCAGGAGGGAGAATGAGTGCAAGCAGGGGAAATGCCAGATGCTTATAAAATCATCAGATATCATGAAACTCACTCATTATCATGAGAACAGCATGGGGGGACTGCCCCTATGATCCAATTACCTCCACCTGGCCCCACCCTTGACGAGTGGGGATTATTTTAATTCAAGGTGAGATTTGGGGAGGGGACACGAGCCAAATCATATTATAAATTTTTTTTAAGTTTATTTGTCCAGTCCAAGGTTACACAGCTAATATGGATAGACAAGGGTATGAATGCAGGCTATCTCACTTTAGAGCTTGGGTGTATTCTTAACTTCTGCCCTGTAGTGTCTTCCCTCTACCTTCCTGTACAATGAAGGTCCCACAAGACAGCCTACACTTTTTCCCGTTTTCTTCATTTCATGACCGCTCTGCTTCAGCTCGATTCTCTGCACTGCCTATATGTTAAAGTTCCCTCAGTTTTAGTGTTACAAATCTTTGCTAGAAATTAGAAACACTATGTTGTCCATATCCTTTGACTCAGAACTTCACTTATAGATTAAAAAAGAAAATCACACAAACAAGAAGATTTTTCTGTATAAAAGGAGATGTGTTCCATCATTGTTTTTAAAGGAAAAATTACAAGCAATCTATGTGCCCATTGATAGGCGACTATTGAAAATAAGATGTCTTTTCAAAGATAGTATCTGTCACTTATTCATCTGTTATCATGTCAGCCATTCTGAAAATTCTTTTTATACATTATCTAATTTTTGCAGCATTTATGGTAGATGTTATAATCTCCCTTTCCCAGTTAATGGAACTAAGTAGGGCTGACAGAGGTGAAATAATTTGCTCAAGGTCCTGCTGCTAGTACATGTGGAGTCAGGATTTGACCATGACTGTCTGATACCAAAGGAGATGCTCAGAGCTACTTCATTTAATCCATGTACTAGAACACCAGGCAGCAAATAAAAATAATAATATAGACCTAAATTTTATATAGAGAGATATCCATTATGTTTTGTGAGCAAAAGCAGATGATTAAACAGCATATACAGAATGAAGCTATATAGATACTGTCTTCTGCATTTTTTACATTATTAACAGGAAAAAAACCTCACTATTTCATTTTTGAAAAAAAGAAAAACCTAAGTTTTCGGGTCTCACATGTGCAGACACTAGGGTAAATAATCCTTAAAAACAAAACTAGGCAGGGTGTGGTGGCTCACTCCTGTAATCCCAGTACTTTGGGAGGTCAAGGTGGGTGGATCATGAGGCCAAGAGTTGGAGACCAGCCTGGCCAACATGATGAAACCCCATCTCTACTAAAAATACAAAAATTAGCCAGGCATGGTGACTCATGCCTGTAATCCCACCTACTCCAGAGGCTGAGGCAAGACAATTGCTTGAACCCAGGAGGAGGAGGTTTCAGTGAGCCTAGATCGCGCCACTGCACTCCAGCCTGGGTGACAAAGCAAGACTCCATCTCAAACAAACAAACAACCAAAACTAAACTCTTGGTATATTTTAATCCTAATCCTGATTATAATGACATGAAATAACTACATTCTCTCTTCATTCTCTTAGGTTTCAGATCAGAAGGGAGAAGGAAGACAACAATGCAAAAGGGGAAGTTTTTGAGAAGTGTTGTTTGATGATGCATTTTAGGTTTCACCATTTTTGTCAGACTGGTCTCGAACTCCTGACCTCAGGTAATCCACCTGCCTCAGCCTCCCAAAGTGCTGGGATTACAGGCATGAGCCACTACACCTGGCCAATTAGGTCTCAGTGTGCAGACATTAATTAGTGGTTTTAATGTCAACATTTTACCTTTATTTATTTTCTTCCTGACTTATATTGGCATTGTTTTATTTCTATATACATTTTGCACTCCAGATGCCATTATTATTTCTGTTTTTACACAGCCAATAATCATTTTCATTTACCTACATGTTTACCATTTAAATTTTCCTTTATTCTTTCTTCTCTCTCTGGCCATTCATCTGGGACCATTTTTTTCTGCCTGAAGAAAATCCTTCAGGCAGAAATTTCCTTTAGTGTGGGTCTACTAGAAACAAAATCTTTCAGTTTTTGTTTGAAAATATCTTTAACGTTATTCTTTTTTTTTTTTTTTTGAGGCAGAGTTTTGCTTTTGTTGCCCAGGCTAGAGTGCAATAGCATGATCTCAGCTCACTGCAACCTCCACCTCCCAGGTTCAAGTAATTCTCTTGCCTCAGTCTGCCAGGTGGCTGGGATTACAAGCATGTGCCACCACGCCTGGCTAATTTTGTATTTTTAGTAGAGACAGGGTTTCTCCATGTTGGTCAGGCTGGTCTCGAACTCCCAACCTCAGGTGATCCACCTGCTTCAGCATCCCAAAGTGCTGGGATTACAGATATGAGCCACTGTGCCTGGCCAACTTTATTCTTGATGGAGAGTTTCACTGGGTATAGAATTTTAAGATGGCAATTATTTTATCTTAGTACTTTCACAATAATCATTTCTTTATTTTCTGGCTTACAATATTTCTTCTGAGAAGGTCAATTGGCAATATTATTATTGCTTCTTTGAAGATAATCTGTGTAGTATTTTATTATGTGACTATATTATAATTTGTGTATCAATTTTACTATTGATGTATATTTAACTTAGTTTTGGATTTTGGCTATTAAAAATACTGCTGTAAGCGTTTTAATATATCTTCTGGTGTACATATGCATTAATTAATTGCTGTTGGGTATATATTTAGGACTTAATTACTGAATTGTAAGGTATACATATGTTCAGCTTTACTATTTATTGATGAACAGTTTTCTAAAGTGATTTTGTCAAGTTTTACTCTTACCAGATGGACGTGAGAGTTTCAGTTACTCTATGTCCTTACCAACTTTTGGTATTGTCAATTTCACACACTATGAACCATTCTGATGGGTGTGTAATGGTATCTCATTGTGGTTTTAATTTTCATTCTCTCAATGATTAATGATGCTCAACTTTTTACGTTTATTGGCTATTTGAATTCCTCTAGTGGTTAGGGATGTCAAGAATCTTTTCATGTGTTTATTAGCCATTTGTGTATCTTCCTTAGGAAAATGTCTAGTCATATCCTTTACCTCCCCCCCGCCTATTTTTTTGAGTTGGAGTTTTGCTCTTATCACCTAGGCTGGAGTGCAGTGGCATGACTTCAGCTCCCTGCAACCTCCATCTCCTGGGTTCAAGCCATTCTCCTGCCTCAGACTCCCAAGGAGTTGAGATTACAGGGGCCTGCCACCATGCCCAGCTAATTTTTGTATTTTTAGTAGATATGAGGTTTCACCATGTTGGCCAGGCTGGTTTCTTACTCCTCCTGACATCAGGTGATCTGCCTACCTCGACCTCCCAAAGTGCTGGGATTACAGGCATGAGCCACTGTGCCCAGCCCTCCTTTCTTCATTTTTAAATTGGAATTTTTGCTGTTGTAGACATTCTTTATACATTCTGGATATCAACCCCTTTTTAGATATATGATTTGCAAATATATTCTCCCACTCTATTGGTTACCCTTTCATTCAGTTTCTTATATCCTTTGAGGCACAGAAATTTTAAATTTTGATGTAGTCTAAGTGATCTGTATTTTATTTTGTTGCCTGTCCTTTTGGTGTTGCATTCAAGAAATCATTGCCAAATCCAATGTCATGAAGCTTCCCCTTATGTTTTCTTCTACAGGTTTTATAGTTTTAGGTCTTATATTTAGGTCTGTGATCCATTTTGGGTTAATTTTTGTATGTGGTGTAAGGTCCAACCTCATTCTTTTACATGTGGATATCCAATTTTCACACCACCATTTGCGGAAAAGACTTTTCTTTCCCTGTTGAATGGTATTGACACCCTTGTCAAACATCGTTTGAGCACATATGCGGAGGTTTATTTTTGGGCTCTCTAGTCTATTCCATTGGTCTACATATTTATCTTTATGCCAGTACCTCATTGTTTTGATTACTGTAACTTTATAATAAGTTTTGAAATCAGGAAGTGTGAGACCTCTGACTATGTTCTTCCAGATTGTTTTGTCGCTTGAGATTTTATCTTAGTTTGAGGTGAATTTTTTTTTCATAGAATCATTGCCCAGGAAATGTTTTAATTTCTAAAAAGAAATCATTGGGATTTTGGTAAACATTATATCAGATCTTTAGATCCCTTTTGGTAATATCGACTTCTTAACAATATTACGTCTTCCAATCTATGAACATGGATTGGAAAGGATATTCCACTTAAGGGTGTCTTCCTTTATTTCTTTCAGCAATATTTTGTAGTTTGCAGTGAACAAGACTTTTGCCTCCAAGGTTATTGCTATTTCATTCTTTTGATGCTGTTGTAAATAAAATTTTGTTCTTAATTTCCTTCCTGGATTGTTCATTGTTAGTGCATAGAAAAGCAACTGATATTTGCATGCTGATTTTATGTCTTGTAACTTTGCTAAATTGGTTTATTAGTTTCAACACTTTTTTTTGGTGGCATTTTTAGGGATTTCTACATATAAGACCAAGTTGTTAACAGAGATAATTTTACTTCTTCCTTTCCAGTTTGGATGCCTTTTGTTTCTTTTCCTTGACTAATTTATCTGGCTGAGACTTCTAGTACCATGTTGAAAAGAGTGATGAAAATAGACATTCTTACTTCTAATTTAGAGGAAAAACTTTCAGTCTCATACTTGTTAAATAGGGACTCCTTTCTCCCTTGCTTGTTTTTGTCAGGTTTGTCAAAGATCAGATGGTTGTAGATATGTGGCATTATTTCTGAGGCCTCTGTTCTGTTCCATTGGTCTACGTATGTGTTTTGGTATCAATATCATCCTGTTTTGGTTACTGTAGCCTTGTAGTATGTTTGAAGTCAGGTAGCTTGATGCTTCCAGCTTTGTTCTTTTTGCTTAGGATTGTCTTGGCTATACAAGTTATTTTTTCATTACATGTGAAGTTTAAAGTTTTTTCTAATTCTCTGAAGAAAGTCAATGGTAGCTTGATGGGGATAGCATTGAATCTATAAATTACTTTGGGCAGTATGGCCATTTTCACAATATTGATTCTTCCTATCTATGAGCATGGAATGTTTTTCCATTTGTTTGTGTCCTCTCTTATTTCCTTAATCAGTGGTTTGTAGTTCTCCTTGAAGAGGTCCTTCACATCCCTTGTAAGTTGTATTTCTAGGTATTTTATTCTCTGTGTAGGAATTGTAAATGAGAGTTCACTTATGATTTGACTTTCTGTTTGTCTGTTATTGGTGTATAGGAATGCCTGTGATTTTTGCACATTGATTTTGTATCCTGAGACTTGGCTGAAGTTGCTTATCAGCTTAAGGAGTATTGGGTCTGAGACAATGGAGTCCTCAAATATACAGTCACGTCATCTGCCAACAAAGACAATTTGACTTCCTCTCTTCCTATTTGAATATCATTTATTTTTTTCTCTTGCCTAATTGCCCTGACCAGAACTTCCAATACTGTGTTGAATAGAAGTGGGGAGAGAGGGCATCCTTGTCTTGTGCCTGTTTTCAAAAGGAATGCTTTCAGCTTTTGTCCATTCAGCATGATATTGACTGTGAATTTGTCATAAATGGCTCTTACTATTATGAGATATGTGCCATCATTCCTAGTTTATTGAGAGGTTTTTTATTTGTTTGCTTTTTTATTGTTGTTGTTTTTAGCATGAAGGGATGTTGAATTTTACTGAAGGCGTTAATAAAAATCATGTGGTTTTTGTCATTGGTTCTGTTTATGTGATGGATTAGGTTATTGATTTGCATATGTTGAACCAGCCTTGCATCCCAAGGATAAAGCCAACTTGATCATTGTGGATAAGCTTTTTGATGGGTTGCTGGATTTGGTTTGCCACTATATTATTGAGTTTTTGCATTGATGTTCATCAGGGATATTGATCTGAAATTTTCTTTTTTTGTTATCTCTCTGCCAGGTTTTGATATCAGGATGATGCTGGCCTCATGAAATAAGTTAGGGAGGAGTCTCTACTTTTCTATCTTTTGGAATGGTTTCAGTAGGAATGGTACCTACTGATAGAACTCGGCGTGAATCTGTCTGGTCCTGAACTTCTTTTCGTTGGTAGGCTATTAATTATTGCCTCAATTTCAGAAGTTGTTATTGGTCTATTCAGGAATTTGACTTCCCCCTGGTTTAGACTCGGGAAGGTGTATGTGTCCAGGAATTTATCCATTTATTCTAGATTTTCTAGTTTATTTGTATAGAGGTGTTTATAGTATTCTCTAATGGTAGTTTGTAAATCTGTGGGATCAGTGGGAATCAATGATATCTCCCCTTTATCATTTTTTATTGTGTTTATTTGATTCTTCTCTCTTGAATTCTTTATTAGTCTGGCTAGCAGTATATCTATTTTGTTTATCTTTTCAATAAACCAGCTCCTGGATTCACTGATAAGAAATAAGAGAGGACACAAACACATGGAAAAACATTGCATGCTCATGGATAGAAAGAATCAATATAATGAAAATGACCATACTGCCCAAAGTAATTTATAGATTCAATGCTATCCCCATCAAGCTACCATTGACTCTCTTCACAGAATTGGAAAAAAACTACTTTACACTTCATACGGAACCAAAAAGAGCTCGTATAGCCAAGAAAATCCTAAGCAAAAAGAGCAAAGCTGGAGGCATCATGCTACCTGACTTCAAACACACTACAAGGCTACAGTAACCAAAACAG